GGGACGCAGACACCCGCTGCTCCCTCCTCATCCTCACACTCAGGAGCAGCCTCGGGTCTGGATTTCACAGGAGCCTTCGTGCTGCCAGGAGCAGAGCCAGCCCCGCCAGCTCCCCTCGGCACGGACGGGGTCTCAGCCCGAGCGCTTGGGTCTTTGTTGTCGGCCACGCAGACCTGGACGCCAGCAGGAAGGTTGCTGGGGAGAGATTCCCAGTCGAGATTGGCGACGATGGGCAGACGGAAATGGGCCCCCATGCCTGCACGGAGCACCTTGGGCTCCCACGGATCCACACAGCCTGAGATGGGAGGGAGGAAAACAGCCACACTGCAGCGGCTCCCACAAAGACGGATTCAGCAGCTGCTGCTCCCCGCAGAAAATCACATCTGGACACTGATTACAAACTCGGGAACAGCATCTTCAAGCACCTCTTATTCCCTGCCTTAGCCCCAAACTAAACTTTTTTTTCCTCAAGAAAAGGCTCTTACCTTTGGTGAGCAGCACCTTCTCACAGCCTGCTCCCGCTGCAGATCTCAGAATAGTCCCCAGGTTTCCTGGATCTCGGATATTGTCGCAGATGAGGAGCAGTGGCAAGGAGCTGGTTAGCTGAGCCGTAGGGTAAGACATCTTGGCATGGTCGGGCTTGGAAAAGATCCCTGAGGAGACAAAGTGCTGACAGGCTTCTGACTAACACAGCCCAAGGAGAGGGCTGTCTCCCGTGTGGTTGGCCCAAATGTCACTAAAGAGGTGCTGGAGAAGGCACTGGGAAAAGCACCACTTAAGAGATGTTTGAGAGGAGTTTGTCACTTGACAAGGAGAACTATTTCCCAGCAGAGCTGGAGCGAGGTGCTGTTGAAAAGGAGCATTAGCGCCTTCAGTGGGCTCTAGAAGCCGCTTTCACAGTTACCACAGCAGACCAAATGAAAGGGAATTCTTTCAAATTGTGACACTCTTGACCCACTGCCAGAACGTCTAGGGGAAGGTTATGAAGAGAGAGTGATTATCCACTTATTAAGTGTGAAATAAGTTTCCCTTTGGGCAGCGTTGTGACTGTTTCTAAGGCAACTTACCTATAAGCCCCTGGGGAGTTATGAGGTCAGACCAGCTCTTAATATCTTCAAATTTCACCTTAACTAAGTTGGCTCGTTTCAGCTGTGCCTCCGGCAGCTCCTTGAGGTGCCCCACGGTGCTGAAGAAGAGGGTCTGCAGCACAGCTCCTGCCTCCAGGGCATCCTTAATCAGCCTGTGACCCTCCAGCAGAACCTTCCCGTGATGATCCCGAAACTTCTTCGACTTAGCGATAGTCACCACTTTTCTGCAGGGAAAGTTAATCAGAGAAAACGGCTGTGACGCTAACACCGCCTCCGGTCTGACGTTTGCCAGG